TGGTGTGTAAAGTCTAAGACCAAAAAGATACTTTAAAGCAGGCCCACTGTTATAGTAGATACCAATGTTTTCCTCTAGTAAAGCATTGCACATACAGAACAATCCCAAAGACACTTCTTTGGCACATAGTAAATATTAGTATTAGTATTAGTAAGACTGTGGTCCTACAGAGAGCAAGACAAACAAGTTCAAGGCTCATAAAAAGCATGGGAGGAGGTGAGAAGTGGATAGAGAAGGATAGATAGACAACAGAAGAACAAATTAAGAAGCAACGAGACTATCAAAGCATGGTAAGTAGTATGTCCTTAATTAGCCCTGATGAGACAGTGATGGGGATCTAATTTAGACAGAGTGTGATCAAACAAAAACCTGTCTGGGAGGTGACCTATTCAACGTAGATGACAAAAAGGTGTTACCAGCACAGAGAGGTGGTCAACTTAGCCAGAGCATCAGATTAGGGCTGAAACCCCATGTCCCAGCATAGACGCTTAGGAGTTACAATTAAAGGATCTATAGGACAAAAGCCAGGCAGAAGCTATACCCTTACCTCTTTCTAGGTCCCTGAATTTGAGGGCAGGCTGAGGTAACAATAGACCTACTGTTGCTATTTATCAAGCTTTCAAATAAAACAATCAGAAACATTAAAATTAGTTAAGTTAATGAAGAGACTAGAATTATGACCACTTTGATAGAAAGCAAAACTTATGAAAAAATAAGATTTTTCTTTAGTATATAAATGTTTCAATTCATTATCACTCAATATATCAAAATGACACACTCTTTTCATAAAAGATGTGCAAGTTTGAAGGTAAAACAGCATCTTAGCACTAGAAAGACAGAAGTAGATGCAAATATGAAGAAAACTGGTAAGACGTTTCAGAATGATGAAATAAGAGGCAAGGCTAAGATTTAGGAGACTGAGACAAAGCTCTATAAGATGACATGTGGACAAAGTTTAGAGTCTCATCCTAAAATCCAATCCATTTGCAACTGATGAACAAATTTTATACTAGTTCTTAAAGCTTCTTATAGAACTTTTCTATATTTTAAATACATTTTGGAGTTAAATATGCAGGTCATCCAGCTAAATATAGAAAATTAGGATTGGCGCCGGGCACCCATGGCTCACGCCTGTTATCCTAGCTACTCAGGAGGCTGAGATCTGAGGATCGCAGTTCAAAGCCAGCCCATACAGGAAAGTCCGTGAGACTCTTATCTCCAATGAACCACTAGAAAACTGGAAGTGGCACTGTGGCTCAAGCAGTAGAGCGCTGGCCTTGAGCAGAGCACAGGAACTCTGGCCCAAGCCCAGAGTTCAAGCCCCACGATCAACCAAAAAAAAAAAAAAAAAAAGAAAGAAAGAAAAGAAAATTAGGATCGGCCTGGGAGAAAAAGTTACCATATAATGGAATGGCCTCTTGTAATCCATTGTAAAAAAATAAAATTCATCATTATATAATGGCACTTTACTTATTCAATTTCCTCAACTCTTCCTCCAACGCAGCAGAAAAACAAGAGGAACTTTCAAAAAAAGTTTCTAAGTAACAAAAATAAATGGCACAAAGGTCAACATTCAAACTTATAGACTAACTTCAGGAAAGTCCCGTGTAGCCTCACTCAGGGTTTATTTACTGTTAGACACTATTTTAAAGATGTGACCATCTGTCTGTTGATTAAATTTTACGCTGCTACCTAAAGGGAGTCAGGACCAGGTACAGTTTTGTTAGGCACAAGCACTTGCATCAGTAGGAAGACACAGCTGGCACTAATATAGGCAAAAGGCATTCCTCGTAGACCATGATCCCCATGGCAAATAGAGCCACATACCACAAAGCCCTTGCAGAAAAGCATGCATGCAATAATTGATACCTGGAGGTAGCCCTAAAGTAAAAAAGCATTTCTCAAGTTATAGATAAATACAAATCACTACTCTGTGATGCAAAGTAGAAGAGATATTACTCCATCATAACTTATGATTGGCATTTCTTTTGGTTGGATACAAAAGACACAATAAACTGGGTTTTGTTTTCTTGTTTCTGAATGTATATACCAATCATTCGGCTGTAACTAAGAAGCATTATCTTGATCTTACTCATTTCGTGGTAGGCATTCTATCTGAAAGCAATACATATTGATATTCGTGTTTTTCCTGTACATGTATGGGAGATTCATAGACCAGAATTGCTCTAAGAAATGCCATATTATGGTTAAAGTATTGTGAAAAATGAAGCACAAAATTTGCTGGGTGGTAGAGCACTTGCCTAGCATACATGAGACTTTAGGTTGAACTGGAGGATAAAACTATGTTTACATTAAAGTACAGTCCCTATAATAGGTCAAAAATAACAATTGTTTTGAATCATACCCACATAGTCCAATCTAAATACAAAATATCTAGAACTGGAGAATCTTAATATTCAATATCATTCAGGATACAAAATTAATATTGAGAGTGAGCGGGATGTGACTGAGTAAACACCATTAGAGGAGCGGAATACTCTAGAAAAATGGAGAAGGATCCCGGAAAGCAGATGTTTGTTCATCTAATCACAAAAGGCCAATTTGTGTTTGGTACTGGAAGACCTTTCATAAAATGACAAGATGCACAAATTTGGACCCATGATATTTTCTCTGAGGTATCCTTGCTAGAAGTTAATTTGATAATCATCAAACAGATCAGCAGAGGCATCAAATATCAATCACTACCCCTTGGGAATGGGAAGTTTTAAGGTCCAAGAAGAGGAAGAAGCTGTCATTATTCAGCAAAAATGGTCACATTCTAGGGGGATCTTCTTTAATACCCACCTGTTATCCTCCAATCCGGGAACCTTAACATACAAACATCAACCTGAGCATGTGCAGAAAAATAGCTCCATATTGCCCCCTAGTGCTGGCTAGTCCCATTGCTCTTTAGGCTAAAAACTACAAGGTGAGTAGTTCCTCTACTACTTCTTCCAGCCAATCCTCCAAGAGCTAAACATAGCCTACAGATTAGAAAACAACCAGGCTATTTTTAGCATCATACATCTTAGGAATGGAAATGGACCAGCCTCTAATGGCAACAGAAAGTGTGTACACTGGCTGAATGAACTTACCTCTCTTGAGGGTGTGAACCTACTCAGTAAACTAGCCCATGACCAAAGGCTAAAAAGCTCTAGAGAAAACTGCTGGATAAGTCTCGGGCCAGGAAACAAGATGATAACAACATGCACATCACAACATAAAACTACTTCAAGGAGAAGGAGAAAGTACAAGTATCAAGAGGAACCTAGGAGATACCAAGCCAGTGCAGTGGGAGAGATGACATGAGATCGGAATAAGGAGCTAGAAAAACAGAGGCCATGAAGACTGTGCACTGTGTTGCTATGGAAAAGCTTGTCTAGTAAGAGGCAACATTTTGAACTGAGCATTTATTTCACATAAGAAAGAACAAAGGTTGGTCTGATCTGTTTCCTGACTGGGTCCAGCTGGTGCTGTGGCTCCTTTGATCACTTTCTCTGGCCCTCTGCTGGTCTTGTGATTAGTGGTAGATCTCTAGGCTTCCCTTTGATCAGTAGCTCAAGGAGCCTGCAGGTGCCATGTGCCACTACGTTAGCACGTGGTTAGGAACAACCACAACAATATTGACTGATAAATGTGATACTGTGTCTTGGCATGCAAGAAACCAAGACAAACAATGTCTATCAAAGCCCCAGTAAGCCTTATTTTATCTAGCTTTAGTACTCTAGAACTTTCTGTGCTTTCTTAACATTGAGCCCTTTTTCGCATTTAAATCCAGAGTTGAAGCTTCAAAACATCCTATGTATAAAGAAAGAAGTCCTGATGACTTTGAAAATAGAGTTCACTACCCTGGGATTTGCCAGGTATGCTGCTTTTGTTCATCTTACCTGGATTAGAGAACATTCTTGCATTGTCAACAGCAGACATGAAAGCAGAAAAACATGAACCATGTCTTTTCAAATAACAGTAAAAACCACCACTGGTAAACAGGGTGTTTAATATTCCACTTTTAGACAGCCTACATTCACATTGTGGTTTCAAGGGCGGTCTAAAATTTCTATTTACAAAGGAGGTTCAAAAATGACTTCATAATGGTAGATGAAGAGAAAAAGAGTTTAGAAATTGAATGATGTAAATCATATGGGGTTCAGAGGCTAAGCAAATTACACACCCCGAAGCTTCCCTGGCTTTATGAAAGGAGCCTTTCTCCAGCTCTGTGCAATCCCAGCCCAGAGGAACTTACATTGGAGAGTTTTCTAAACATTTCAGGTACACTTGAAAAGCTGAAAGTAATTCTCATTTCCTATGCGGGATTAAGTCGTTTCCAACATACATAAAATAGCAGTCATTCACTAACACACACACACACACAAAACCACCACCAGAAAGGTAAGCACAAAGGCACGTTTACACACACACACACACACACACACACACATACACACATACACAGAGCTCAAAAGAAAGACATATTTTATTCCCCTAAAACACGTCGCAGCGTCTGGACCTCAATATTTCTTATCTACTTAGGAGTGGATGCCTTTTCAATGAATGCGGCTGATGGGTATCCCGAAGTCCCCCTGGCCACTGCACTCCCCCCCACACCCCAAGAAAAACCCACTCTGACTAAAATCAAGCATGTCAAAACTCATTCATTGTGGATTCCTTTTTCCAGGCAGTTCTTGAACAACTTCTAACTCTGGCAACGCGCGACCCCGCGACGTGCCTAGCACTGACGTTCACAATCGCTCCTTGGCTAGGGCTGCACAGCACTCGCGCTCCCCTGCTAAAGTTCTGGGCAGCTCCGGTGGCCAACAGGCAAAAGTCCCCACGGACGCACGGGGTGCGCATCTTGCGCGCTCGAGAGACGCGGCGGCGCCCACGCGGGCTAGTGGGAAAGCACACTCGGCGAGGCGAGCGCGCACTGCGGGCAGCCGGGGTGCGAGAGCGGGGTAGCGGCGGTGGGGGGGGGGGGGGCGGGGAGGAGGGCGCAGACTCACCGTTCTGCTCCTTGTCGCTGGAGAACTGGAACTTACTGCTCAGGTTGGACTCTGCCTGCGCGCCGAGTCTCTGGCCGGCCAGGGCAGATGTCAGCAGGAGAAGGCCGAAGAGGAGCATTTGGCTGATTGGGGCGATTGCTCGCTCGCGGCGGGCACTGGGGAAGCGGCGACTCCGAGCCTCTCACCACCGCCCGGGGAAGGCTGCACCGGAGTGGAAGCGCCGAGCCTTCTCTGGCAGCGGAGAATCGCAGGGTAGTTTCCACATAATCCCATCCAAAACTTTTTTCCTAGAGCCCTCTTCTGTGTCTCCAGTTTGTTGAAAAGGATCAAAGCAAAACCTGGACCTGAACCAGTTCCCCAAGGTTTAAACAAATCCTGAGCTGTGCCGAAGTGGTGGGGGCTGGAGGGGGGGGAGGGAGGGAGACGAAAGAGGAAAGAGGGGGTGGGGACGCGGGGGAGCGGCGAGAAGTCACCGGCGACTTGCAGGGAGCACCTGTCAGTTTAGGGGCCCGGAGCGAGCCGGGGACTCAGGGGTCGCGCGGAGTCCGTCTGGAAGCCAGGTCGGCGGGCGAGCGCTGTCGGATCAATCACAGAGCTGCCAATAGATGCGGCGCTCCGGGCGCCCGCTCCCCGCCCCACCCCCACCCCACCCGGAGGGGGAGGGGGAGAAGGCGGCGCGGGCGCCGCGCGGGTCCCGGGGGTGGGGGGCGGCGGTTGGCGGCGGGGAGCGCCGCGGGGAGTCGGGGCCCAGGGAGGCCGCGGGTCAGTTCACCAGTCGCGTGCGCGCGGGCTGCGCGGCGGGTCCTGTCCGCCTCCGTCGCTCGGCTCCCGGCACCTGGCTGGAGTTGGGCGCGACCAAGTTCACTTGGGCGGGTGCGTCTTCCGCTCCGGGCAGCCGCCTGGATCGCAGGTCGGGGGCGCCGGGGACTCCGGGCCGGGCCGTCCCCTCCCCCACGCGCAGTCGGCGCTAACCTCGGGGCGCAGCGGCGTCTCCACCCGGGCTGCCGAAGGAAGAAGGCCGGGCCGCCCGGAGGACCTCGCTTGTCCCCTCCCCTTCTCCACCTTCCCCCCCACCAGCGCGGCGCAGCGCGGTGCGGAGGGGGGTGGGGGGGCTGAGCCTCTGTCCTGCGGGCGGCCGGGGGTCGGCGTCGCCGCGGGGGCCGGTTTGCCAGCTGGCCGTCCAACAGGTGCTGGAGCAGACGGGGTGCTTCGGGGCACGCCTCCCGTGGAGCCCAGAAGGCGCGGCGAGGAATGCCGCCCACCCGGAGGGCCCGGGCTTCCTTTCCACCCGTCGCCCCTAACCCCAAATAAGGAACACTTAGGCCGCGGGAGGGTGCTGCAAAAGCGAGAAGTGAAGAACTTGCTGGGACTCCTCCTCCCGTACTAGGCAGCTGTGACTCCTTACTCTGTGTCCAGGGGATCCCCACTCCCCAGGACCTTTGCCCATAGCACTTGTGCCCAGCATTTCTAGACTATGGGAACAAGGGACGCTGGATGCAAAGTTCCTCTTCTTTGCAGTTCTGAAGTAGGAGGAAAGGAGTAAAAGACAAATGGCCTCAACAATCACATTCAGTCAGTCAATTTAACAACACACTATGTGTTTATCCCTCACTGTACTGGGCACTTAGACTGTGGCAGTGACAAAGGCAAAAGTCCCTGACCTTTCAAAACTTCAGCACTGGGTGGGCAGCATATTACTCTCAATCCCCACCCCCTAGAGTGGAGAGACTGTGAGTAGGGGCCCTTATGACAGGCTCGCTTGTGAAACAGCCTAACACCAGGCTGTCTTGAGCCCTGGAAATGGAAGGGCTGGCCTCTGTACTGAGAAGGTGGAGAAAGCACCCAAATCTGCACGTGGCCTGGGCCCAGATCTACATTGTGTGGTTCGTGCTGAGCCCTGAAGTTCCTAGGAGACTGTCTAAAACGATAAACATCAGCAGATCAGCAGAGCCTGGGTGGTTCCATGTGCAAGGCATCTGTCCTCCTCAGAATGGAGCATGTTGCCTTATCAAGGAGCAGAAAATCCTTGGGAATGTGTTGAAGGCACAAACAGAGTCAGAACGCTATATTGTTAGAGTAGAAGGTTTGGGGCTAATCACACACACACACATATCAAGCAAGTACTCTGGCAGGCATTCAGAAGTGTCTTCCTATCTTTTGAAAAACCAGTCATTCAAACAAATCACTTGACATGGGACACAGAACCAAGACAACATTCTAACACCAGGATGTTCCTAAGACCAGGGCAGGGATGTACTACTGGACCAAATCTGGCACTACCTTGCCTAAAATATCACATCCATTCCCTACTTGGACACTATCCTAGTCTTATTTCTTTTACTTCTTAAAATTTGGTTATTGGACCTGGCCCTTGTGGCTCACACCTGTAATCCTAGCTGCACTGGAGACTGAGGATCAAGGTTCAAAACCAGCATGAGCAGAAATTCAAGAGATTCTCATCTCCAATTAAACAGCAAAAATCCAGAAGTGGAGCTGTAAATCTAGCCTTAAGCAGAAAAAGCCAAGCCAGAACATGAGGCCCTGAGTTCAAGCCCCAGCACCGGCACCAAAAAGCAGGAGAGGGGGTGGGGGAGAACAGGAGGGTACTATAGGTGTTACTCAGTGGTATAGCATGTGTTTTACATTCAGGAGGTCTTAGGTTCACTTCCCAGCACCAAAAAAGCCCAGTGTAGTGGCTCACACCTGTAATCCTAGCTATTCAGGAAGCTGAGAGCTGAGGATCACAGTCCAAAGCCAGCCAGGGCAAGAAAGTCCATGCTAATAAGCCACCAGAAAACCTGCAGTGGCTCTGTGGCTCAAGTGGTAAAGTGCTAGCCTTGTGCTGAAGAGCTCAGGAACAGCACCCAGGCCCAGAGTTCAAGATCAAATACTGACAAAAAGTTAAACTAGGAACAACTCTTCTTTACAAATCTGTCCAGTTCATTTGTTCTTATTCTGTCCTCAGAGTGCTGTATATAGCGGCAAATTCATTTGTTTTTACTATAAGATGTTTTTAGTTTAATGGACTTTGTTATGTTATTCACACGTAGTTTCTCAGCATCAGTGTAAATCCATATTTGCACAATAAATGTCTTTCAAAAGAATTTCATAAATTTGTGATGAAGACTGCTCCCAATTTTAATAACATAATGAGACAGAAAAGGTGAGCCTATGAGTCCGTTTTAAGCTATTTGTAATATAATTTATTATTCGTCAATCTGTCTAATTTTCTTCATTTCCTAATCAGGAGTTGTCTCTCTGAGCTTACAGCCTATTCACATAGTTGGGTTTCCTGACCACCCACATAGGGTGTATGTGTGTGTCTGCAGACTTAATCCATTTGCTCTCATGAGATTATAGGGGTGATGACTGTGCTTTATTCTGTATCATTTCATATTGGCTAGAACAGTGCCTGGCACAGGGGGATAATAAATAAACATACTTGACTGACTGACAGTTTTCTTTATTGGGCTCACTTACTTTCTCCCTGGAATTTCAGCAAGAAGGCTGTACTTGAAAAGTTACAGATGATCTAAAATAATACTCTACCTGTCCCTTTCACCTCATCCATATTCCAAAGATTGATTTGACAATTGCCTTATAAATAAAGCCAGCCAGGTACTTCTGTATGACCCCTAGACAAAATCACATCCACATTGGCCAGTTTCCCATCAACAGACTTGAGTTGTTGTTGCTTGAACTGCTGTTGCCCTTGGCATAGTTGATTCTTTTTTAACACTTTACCCTCTGCTCTGTTTTTCTGTTCTATTTCACTTTTAAACCTTTCCCAGAAGAGCAAGATCCTTGCATTGAACCTAAATTTGATATAAATCCAGAGTCTGTTAAATTACTAAATAGTGTGTTTTGAGTGGATATAATTCTGTTTGGGCCTAAGGCATTTTTCTTGAGGAAAGGTATTTATCTTGCCAACCAGGGGAAAAAAAATCATTTCAGACATTTTTTGTGGGTTTCATGCTTCCTTAAACCTTAGAAGTTAATGTGGCCATTGCCAGATTTATGAGGAGGGCTACCTAGGAACTGCATCTAACAGTGAACTGGCTAGTACTTGACTCCTGATAGTGGTCATACAGGGAAAGTGGAATAGGTTTCACGACAAAAAAAATAATAATAAGTGGAATAAAAGTGTGTGTGTGTGTGTGTGTGTGTGTGTGTGTGTGTGTGTGTGTGTTGGTATTGTGGCTTGAATTCAGTACCTTACACTTTCACTTGGCTTTTTTTATTTCAATGCTGGTACTCTACTCCTTGAGACATGCCTCTACTTCAGACTCTTTAAATTTTTTCTCATTAACTGGAAATAAGATGCTTAAGATATTTCTGCCTGGCCTGCCTGGCTTTGAACTGTGATCTTTAAATCTCAGCCTCTTGAGTAGCAAGGTTTTCAGGTTTGAGCCAACAGTACCCAGCTCTGGGATAATGTTTTTAAACAACTTTCTCCATAGACAGTCACTAAAACATCTAGAAGGGAAGAAGCCACAGGGACAGATTCTGCCTCAGCAAATTAAATACCAATTTTCTTATTCTTCTTCTATTTAAGGGTGAGATCCCATGCATGCATGTATGCACATGTGCATATACAAAACCATGCAGTTATTTTGAGACTTTCCCTAGAACTTTTCAGTGTTTTAGAGGCAGGTAATTGAGCATGAGCTCCTGAAGTTCAGAAAGCTTTGTTCTACATGAATGCCCATCGTGTTTCCAGAATGGCTAACAAGCAACAATTATATACACATATGGAAAGGGCTGGGACCAGGAAATCATTAGTAAGCAAAGCACATGCCGCAAGCCACAGCCAGAATAATGACTGTTCTTGGTGGGGGAAAAATAAAGCAAATAAATAAGAACTCTGTCTTAATGTTCTCCACTTCTGTGTTCTTTAACTACCTCATCTTGAGAAGCATGACCTGTCTAGCTATTTGCGGGTAGTCAGAAGGATAAATGTTGGCTAATAATAAGAAGTTGATTTTTCAGCCTAGAAATAATGACATACATATTTGTTACATTTTACACTTCTAGGATTAAGTCCTCCTACCTGCTAACATATGGAGGATTTTGCCAAATTTCTGTTCTCCAAGAGCAGACATACTTTCTAATTTTGACTTTTGGGGGAAGATAGTGACAGTTTGTGATGACAAGGGCTGTTCATCAAGCAACCCTTGGCCTTCTGTGGCCTTCCTCAAGGAAGTAAAGCTACTGTTTCTGTTTGGAAGCATGGCTGAGTATACACAGATTCTTCCAAAATTGCAGAAATGCCACCAGCTGATTTAAAAGTCAGTGAAAGTTAAATTCACAGAAACAGCCACAGAGAAAGGGGAGCCCCCAGTAACCTTGGAAGCACCAAAGGAAATGCTCCTTTCAGTAGGAGCTGGGAGACTAGCAACTGAGTCCATCTTTACTTCTAATGAACAGGAATCGTCCTTTGCATCTCAGGGTTTGGTTTGTTGTTGGATTTTTCCCCCCTAAGAAATCTGTGCTGGATTCTGTCCCAGTCCACTTACTGCTTCAGAATTCTTTGATTCTCTGAGCTATTATAAATAATGATGGAAAAATTTTTCCTACCTCATTGTGCTTCTGGGATAAAAAATGACCAGAACAGAGATTTCTTAGCCTCAACTTTAAGATGCCTTCCTGGCTGGCTAGTAAAATGATGAATACCAGTTTCTTCCCAAACTTG